AAGCACCTCTACCCCATCTCTCTTGCCTCTTGTCTAGGCAAGCTGTTCAAACACGTCATCCTGAGCCACCTATAAACCTATCTGGATGACCATGATCTTTATCCGGCTTTCCTCCGCAGTTGTACACCCAGGATGCCTTTCTCAAGCTCTCCGAGGATGACTTACACTCATCCCACCAGAACTGCGCTTCAGCTATCTTGGCGCTGAACCTTACCTAAGCATTCATTTATGTACACCACACATACATTCTGGGCGTTCTCTCCTGCTTTCACGTCGGACACCATGTAGATGCTTACATCACCGCTTTTCTCGCCCGGCGCACAACAGACATTTCATAAGCCTTCTCTTACATTCTTTCTAGGCAAAAGGGGTACTCCCCAAGGTTCTGCCCTGTCTTCTCTTTTTTTGCAGCATTACTCTCTACTGAACACAAGCTTAGCACTATACCAGCTATGTCTCGTGCTATCTATGCCAACGACATTATCCTTTGGCTGATCCCCTGCAATCTTGGCGACACAGAGACTACTCTACAGCGGCTTGCGGACGCGGTGACGTCTGACGCTCAAGCTATCAGGTTGAGCTGCTCCGCGACCAAATCAGGGCTTTTGCTCTTTCTGGTCAGTCTCCGAGAGTAGCTCCTTTGTCTCTTTCTCTACTTACACTCTCCGTTGACGGCACACCAGTTCCTCTGTTCTCTACCCTTCGCATTCTCGGACTCTTTCTTTCGTCCAATGGCAAGCACAACGCCCTCATCATTCAACTCAGCAACACTGTAACCAAACCATGTGCCCCTTATGCCGCATTTCCAACCGCCACCCCGGCATGCGCGAGCACGACCTCCACTACCTAGTCCATGTCTTTGTTCATGTCTTCGCTTCGTCTATTTTCTACCATATGTTTTCCTTGCTCGCACCGAGAAAGACAAAGTCAAGTGCTTTATTTGTCAGGCGTTTGGGACAGCCTTCTCTTTGCCCATATATTCCTGAACAGATCACTTACTATCGATAGGCGTCAATAACTTCCTTACGGAGCTGATGAGGGCCAATTGCACGGCCCAGCTTCTCCTTCTCTCTCACACACGGCCGGGTCGCGCACTTGTCTCCACCCTTAAACTGTCCCCTCTTATGCCTCTACCCACCCCACTCTCCATCCCTTCCTATATCTCTTCCCTTCTAGCCATTGATACCCTCTCAAAGAATATGCATCCGGAACACCATCACCTCCCCCCTCCCTAGAGCAGCGCGAGCCTCCGCGCGCTGGCTTAAGCTTCGGATGGCAACCCGCCGTGAGTAATGTCGAATGCCATACCATATCGCCACTACGCCACCAGTGCCTTTACAGTCACCGGTAACTCCCTCCGACCTACCAGTACAGCCTCCATCTCTACTTTCACCTCTGTCGTGGCTAAAGAGGCTGCTATTGCCCTCGCCATAACACAAACCTCAGCAGAATACATTTCCTCCGACTCCAAACTCATGGTATACAACTACGCGTGGCTGCACGGGTGGTATCTCGGACGTGGTCATCTTGCGGTCTGGCACCATTTCCTCTCACCCCATTTAGATCTTCTGGATACTTGCTCATGCCGGTAATCCTGGAAACGAGGCGGTTAATTATAACGCTCATGATTCGACCGACCGAGCCAGCCCACCTCCACCGAGAATGACAGTGCAACATCTATCACGACGTCGCACTGCCCCACCACCTCTGCCGCCCCGCCCCACCCCCATTATACAAATCGCATTCCCAACACCAACAACACTTGTCGCACCAGCTTGAGGCCCGCACATTTCTTACTCCCGAATGTCTTGCCCCCTTCCACCTCAGGACTTAATCGCCGGCCTGCCGATTATGTGGCAGATCAATCGCCAACTCTCAATGAATTCATTACTCCTGGCCGGAACAATTGCCCCCTGCCCCTAGCACCTCATGCGTACGCAGTAGCGGGAGGCTGCTTTGTCCCAGCACCAGGCTAGACCAGCAACTTCGGCTGGTGACTTGGGCGGAGAACGTTACGGCTCGGCACTGCCTGGACGCCAGAACCCACAACGCTGCTTTTTATAATTTTTTAATGTAATTCTATTTCTTGGCCTTCAGCAAAATGAAGTTTTCCTCCACCTTCAGAGGCACCTAGCCAGCGACCTATCTAGACTGAGGCGTGAGCAGACGGGAAACTGCGGCCCAAAAAGGAGAGAGAGTGAACGGCGAGAAAACGAGCGCGAAGCACTGCACCTACCCTATCCTAACTTTCTCGCAAGACATGCTCCGGTTGCTAGGGGCAAGGGTAAGCACGCGCACCCCCAGCTGTTGCTATGACAGAAGGAGTGAGTGCGGAGAGATAACACCTGCGGGCACGCGGAAACCGCAGTGTACAATGCTGGATGCCTGACATAACCCGACTGAGGGATGCATTCATATTTAAAACGCGTCTTCTAAACTTCGACTTGTGTAGCAGAACGGCATCTTTTATTTTTAGCAGTCTCCGATTATATGGACTGTGAGCATAATAATGGCACGCGGCGTAGTGAGAGAGTAGTCACCTGGTCACATGTCAGAAGGCAGTTCGAATTCTGCTAAGCTGCTTTTTTTTCTCTTTAGATTTCTTTCACTAATAACTTGGGTATCTACTTTCTCTAGTGTAAGTTTGTCTTTGCCATCCTATAACGTTTGATTCCGCGTTAGAATTCCCCGCTGTGCGTTCATTCGAACGTGTTGCTGTAGGCGTTTCGAAAACAAAATTTTCATGGTCGCAAAACCATACTTTTGTTATCACCGAAAATTATCCTAAGACCTTGATGAATTCAACTTACATATCGCACTCGGAGGCGTCTATGCTAAGAGGCGTGTGATTACGAGGCAGTTATATTGCTCTGCGGCATTGGTGGGAGATGCAGGCGTTAAATTGTACTCCGTTATCAAAGACAGAGTGCCAGACACCAATCAAACCTCAATGGCATGAGGATTGCATAGATTGGGAGCTCTGCCTGAGTAGCAGAGCGTTTGTAGCCTCTTTTACGTACAAAGCTGCCTGCAAGGTAAGAGTAAGGCTAATTCTGTCCTGCTCACCCGCGAAGTTTAACAACTCTGCGGAGAGTATTACAGTCATTTTGCACTTTCAGTTCTTCCTCTGCATCTGTGAGTGCACGTTTGTGTGGGCAACTTTTTTTATGCTAATATTGTCAGCATGGGGTCAAAAGACAAACAGATACATTGCTCGTTACCTTCTATATTAACACCATTACTTGAATTGGCCTCTGTGTGCTTATTAGGTATGTAGAGAGGCACTTTAGTGAACAATGTTCAAAGAGTCGCTCAATATACCTGCGATCGATATCTTGCGTCAAAAGCCTTTCTTTTTTTGAAAGAAATACAAGCAATTCTATATGCACAAGCAATCGAAGCCCATGATTTCATTCTTTTTTTGTGAAAATACAGCATGACTGATTGCACATTGATGATACATTTAATTACATGCCAATACAAGAAATTTGTGGAGCTTACAAAAAACGTGTTCATTTTTTTAATGGATTGCTGTATTGAGAGCCTTGCAGTTGCGCTACGCGAATTTGAGGCATTCGTAGTTAGTGCTTTATATTCGCGTTTGAAGAGAATATGGACTCGAGTAACACCCTGGTTTACTGTCGACTCAACATTTTGTTGGCAGGACAGTGGCCATCATGATACAGCAGCACTCTTTGCACCGATTAGTCACTTATTCTGTACTTAACGGTGATGCAGTTTTCACTACGCAGCCTTTGCGTGAAGCCCGTGTTTGTTTACTTGACCAGTTTATCACCCCGCTCTTTCTCAGTGCACCACTCTCGTACCAGCTACGCACGGAGAAAGTTTCGGTATGTCACAGTGTACGTGCCGTTAACCTCATCAATGATGTTACGTTACGTTACTTATGTGGTCAGTAGTCACAACGATGTGCAACAGCGACCCCTATTGGCGGCGGTGAAAGGTGATGAGGTCAAGAGAAAAACAAAATAAGCTGGAATGGCTGTTCTATGCCCTTTCATTATTCCAGCACTTGCTCGCAAAATCACATCTCCAGTCTACAACGAGTGTGTTATCTCTTCATCGCAAACTTCGGACTTTCGTGTTGTTTATTGGCCCTTCACCGAAAGACATGGTAATTATATATAAGGTTCAGTACATCTTATGAATGCTGTAGACCAGTGTTCTCAGATTAAGGGTGCAGGTTGACAAAACAATGGTGCCGAAATTTCCGGAGCCCTCCACAACTGGGCCTCTCATAATTATATGGTTGTTTTGGGATGTTAAACTACAGATATCAATCAAATCAATCAGTACATACTATGTGCGATGTGTGTTGCTCTGTATTGACTACTAGTACAACTTCCTTGCAAAAGCAAGCTTAGTCCATCTATGTCGGCCGTGTGCATCAGTTGTCTATAAAACTGTTTTCTGTTTATTCTTCATCAACAGACAATGCTCTCCGTTACCACATCATAACAGGGAGGGTATTCACAGAAACACACAAGAATGTACTAAGCACCTAATAATTCGTACCCATAGCAGGCTTCATTGAAGCAACATGATTATAAAGCCACATCAGAGAACACAAACAAATATATAAACATGCACAAATTATTACCACTGTTAAGAAAAGTATGGAACGTTGCGTGGGATGGCGGAGCTCTGGGAGTACGCTGTATTAGCTACTCCTGAAAAAAGTTTTTACATCGGTTTTTCCGTAATTTTATCTTGCTATGAGCAAATTGATGTGGACGGTAACACGTTATTAGATAGTGTGTGTTTTGACATCTGTTATGATTTTTTGTTTGTATTCGTTCTTTACTCCAAAACAGAAATGAAAACGAAATACGTATTTGTTTTTTCCACTTCAACTTAGAGCAAATGTATGGGTAAATAAATCTTAGTCGGGAAAAGGTAACCTTCCTTCAGTACCTTCAACTCAGGCAATCTTTCTTTGTCTGAATAAATAGTCAGTGAATGAATGAATCGCTACTCACCGCGACAGGTCTGTTGCCGGCAATGCTGAGAAATGATTTGACGCAGGTGTACACGGAACACACCGGAATTGCCAGCGTCGGGTACGGAGAGTACAGGATTTTGTTTTCAATGCGCCCCTTCAGTAGCGTCGCGTCTGCACAAATGCGTTAAGACATATTTAGGAAACAGAGCCCAGAACTGAAGAGCGAACTTCATCTGTTCTCTTACTCATCACGTTCAATTTTGTGTTCTTGCGTTGTAATGCGCTGTAGCGCCAGCTAAATGTATCTGCAACAGAGTTTCTCTGCTGCAAAATGAGTAATTGGTCCAATTGATCAGGCCACAGACAAAACGAACAAGCAACACAGTGCCGTGTCGTCAGTCTTGTTTTCTTTTGTCTGTGTCTAGTGTGACGCTTTGGACAAGTCCTAGAAAATTGCTCGTTAGCATGTGACACGTGCTGATCACTAGAACACTGGTATTAGGCTCACTGAATTTATTGCTGTGGCTTTGAGGAAATGCACCTAAATTAAAAAACGATATCATCTCTTTTCATTTCATTTTTTACAGACCCCACTGAAAGGGTATTACATAAGGGGTGCGTGCATGCAGAAAAAAATAAAGGTCATGTTTTATTACATTGTAAAGCAATCTGTTGAAGTGGTCAAAAATGTGGAAGGATTGGTTATGGCTATGATGTCAATTGAAAGGCCATTCCAGTCTGCTTCTGTAAGAAAAATGAATGAAGACAAAAAACTGACGGTGCGGGCACGTGGGCAAGCAACGTGTTGGTGGTGACCGGTGCGACTGGAGATGCGTGCGGAGGGAGGATGTACGGCGGCTTAACGAGGAAGCATGTAAAAAAACTTGTGAAAAAGACAAATGCTAGCAGTCCGGCGACGAGGTGCGAGTAATGATAAACTGGATTGTTTTCACGGAGGCACAATCTTTTTTCACTTATACCGGGACCCTTTGTCCAAATTTAACCTGCTACTTGTCCTATCGCGTTAGAGATAATGTGCTTTAGTTTGCTGCGATTTTATCTAATTGTTGCGTTGTTTTGACAAGGGCGGATAACCCTTGTGCTACATGTGGTATATGCGTACCACTTTTCTATTTGCAGGAATAATGGCTTCCACGATCATACGTTAGAATTAGCACAACGCTAAATCACTCATATCTTCCCCAAGACTTGTAGGGGGTTTCAAGGCTGCTCGGCCCTGAACACCGCTGGAAAGGCGTGGAGCCAGACCAGGAACCTTCTTTAGTGACCAGAACCCGGGCCGCAACCGCCCGCTACCAGCCGCTGCCATGCTGCTCACTCCAGATCGTCGCCTTGTTCTTCCTTCTGTCCATGGCGGGCTCGCGGCAACCACTCCCATGCTGCCCCCTCCCCTTCGGCACAAGTGGATAGAAGGACGTGATGCGGTAGCTGCTAGCCTTGTCTACGACGGACCGAACGTGGCGCAGAAGCCCACAAGCCGGCACAGCCACCAACAACTCTATGTAGAACCTCAGGGGCTGCAAGCCTCTAAGGCTATCCTTGTAGGTTCCTCCACATTTACGGCTGGTCTGCTTTTTTGTGCCTGAGGTGGAAGCGCCAAAGTGTACTCTCTTCCCATCGTCCTTAAAACCTCTGGCTCCAGCACCAATCCTGTCTGGCTTCAGCTTTTCTTGCCTGAAGAATTTTTTCACCTTCACTCGATGCTTCTTACCCTTGAAAACCCTCTCGAGGTCGTCGCTGTGAATAAGCGCCGGCGTTTTGCAGATGTGATTTTCTTTGGTCACCGCGTTGCATTCGTTATCAGTGTTGTCAGCCTGGACACGGTCTTCGTGCTGTATATAGTCCTGCGTATCACGCACCGTCTCATTATGCACTGCGGGGTTGTCTATGACGTGACGCTCCCACCTTCAACACACTCCTGACACATGCCATCAATAATGTTCACATCATAAACGACCCCTGCATCATCGGCGTCTAGGTATTTCATGTCGCCGTCCCACTGGGCATCTTGAGGCGTGCCGTCACACTCCTTGTAATACTCGATTTTACCATCTGCAGCTGCTTCTAAGTTTTCCGCAGCTTCTCCCTCAACGCAGTATTCTCCAGCGTCCTGCTCACGATCCCGAAACTATACGACCTTTTTCAGATCCTGCGACTCGTCGAAAGCTTCGCCGCCGTGATATCCAACCTCCTCATCGAAATGCGGAGACTCTTCGGCCTCTTCTTTGCCTTCCTGGGACTAGTCAGCTTCTTCCTCAGCGATCTCCTCTTCCAACTCCATGAGCTCCTCCACGTTTACGTTCCCCGCACTTTCGCCGGCACACCCTTCCTCATCCTCCTGAGTCGCCTCATCGCCCACCTCCTCCACGTCTACAATGCTGTCCAGGCTTCCTTCAGCGCCTGTCTCTGTCTCGGCAGTCATGGAGTCCTCCTCTTCGGCAGCGCTGTTGCGGTACTCGGCTGCTGCCGCCGCATGGTGACGCCCCATGGCGCTAATGGTGACGTTGAGCCCTTGCTCTGGCCGCAGCGCCAGCTCACCGCACGTTGTCCTCTGATGTGGTGCTCGCTGCCTCGCCTACCGCGGCAGCGTTCTGCTCGCTGTTTGGACCCTCAGCAGTCTCTTTATTACCACCCTGGCACTCGCCTCTCTTCTCGGCGATGATCACTATGGCGAGAGAAGACAGCTCAGTACTCAATCACCCGACAGCTCACACGTAGCATGCTAGTACCAGCTCGTGCCGAAGGTCACTCACTCGTAGCCGTGAGGCGAAGACAGCTGTTGAGGCACAAGATGCCCGAGAGGAACGTCAGGAGGGTGGTAGCTGGTGCTCCCGAAAGACGGCTTCCTCAACTTTTGGAGCAAAGTTGGCAAGCTCCTCGATGGAAGGGAAGGAGCGACCCAACAGGTACAGCTGGAAACGGGGGTGGCGTCGCTGCATTAAGAGCGAAACCTTAACGCCCTCAGGTACAGTGGGATTCACCCGACAAAAGAGCTTCTTCATTACCCGAACAAAATCTCGCCGACCCTCCGGTGGGTGTGGCGTTCGGGTGTCGAGCCCATGCCTAATAGGTTATTCCTAATTGACCGATAGGATGTCTTCCTGAAATGCCGCGGCGAAGTGGTTCCAGGACTGAAAAGGTGGTTGAAGCCACTGCCATCTTTCTGCGGTACACGCACAGCAACTGGGAGTACCCGCTGGAGCACGATGTCCTCTGTGAAGCCCCTAATGGTGGAGTACACGAAAAAACGGTCAAGGAAATCGAGCACCAATTCCCTCGCGTCTTGACCAGAAAAAAGTGGGCATGGTAAGAAGCATCGGCAGGGCCATGGTCGCGGACTGCCAGGTACCTCGATGTCCATGGGCCAGGGCCAGGGTTCTCTCCATAGGGCGCCAAATGTATGGGTTTCAAGGCTTCTCGACCCAGAACCCCACAGGGAAGATGCGGAGACAGACCGGGAACCTTCTTTTTTGACCAGAACCCGGCCAGCAACTGCCCATTGCCAGCCGCTTCCACGTGCAACCCTGTGCACTCCAGATCGTCGCCTTTCTCTTCCTTCTGTATATGAAAGGCTCGTGGACACCGCTCCCAAAGACTTTGTTATATCACAAAAAATTCTTTGCTATTGCAGGATCATGGTGAGAATCGGTTGCGCAACAGATTGTTTCAAATGCGATGCATTTCTTAGCAAACTTTGGTGACTTCGAGCGTATCTATCTACCTATCTATCTATCTATCTATCTATCTATCTATCTATCTATCTACCTATCTATCTATCTATCTAACTATCTATCTATCTATCTATCTATATATCTACAACCTTTAGCTCTCCTGGCCGTTTCAATAATGGTATCAACACCAAATTTGGCATGGTTTTACATGACTGTATTAAGAACATTATTGACTAGTCTTACCATGAAAAGCATGACATAGATGTGATGAATATCATGATTTTCATGGCACTGCAGCTCTTGTGGTGGTTTTGTTCACATGTCATGTGGCAAAACTGGTATGGTATGACATGACTGCTTGGCGAACACAAATGACAGAACCTAACAAGAAAATCATGACAGGCGTGCCATGTAAAACATGACTGCATGCCAAGCTCATAATGCGCTCGTGGCTGTTTCGCTAGCGTCCCATATACCAAATTTGCTATTACGGCACATGAATGGATGATGAAGCTGTGATACTGGTGCAAACATGACAAACACGACATGCGTATCATGTAACAACATGACTACATGCCACACTCACGATGCGCTCGTGGCCATTTCGCTAGCTTCACACATGCCAAATTTGGTATTACGGTACATGAATGGATGATGCAGCTGTGTTACTGGTGCAAACATGACAAACACGAAATGCCTGTCATGTAACATGACTACATGCGACACTCATGATGCGCTCGTGGCCGTTTCGCTAGCTTCACACAGGCCAAATTTGGTATTACGTTACGTGCATGGATGACGAAGGTATGTGACTCAGTGCAAACATGATAATCATAAGATGTATGTCATGTGAGAGCTTGACAACTTGCCACAGTTAGGGCGCCAACACATTTCGACGTGACGCGGTGCCCTTGCTCACCAGCGTTCATTTTGGCGCATCAGGCCAACGTTGCCACGCCAGGCACCGGTCCTACCATATACTCACTGGCGTGCGCCGCGCTGCGTTGCTTTGACGCATGCGGATTTCAGGGCGTCCGGCGTCCCTCCGTCACGAAAAGAGGGAGACGCTGTGTTTTTGGGTAACGCATCGGCGCGAAATGCAGCGCGTTGCATTTCGGGCCGGTTTCCATCGGGGCTGCGCCAACAGACGCTGGTCGCGCCGCCCGCCCCTGGCGTCGGACTATAGAGTGCTCGCGTTTTGCTAACGTACCGTCATTGTGCCAAGCGTGCGCGCGCGTCATCGCTACATTGGAGTATATAGGGCCCTTCATGATGCGCTCGCGGCTGTTTTGCTAGCTCCACATATACCAAATTCGGTGTTAGGTGACGTCAATGAATAACCAATGTATATGACTGGTGCAAACGTGATAATCCTGACACGCGTGTGATGTAAGAACACGACAACATACCACTCTCATAGTGTGCTCGTGGTAGTTTAACTAGCTCCACGTATATTCAATTTGGTATCACGTGACGTTAAGAGATGACGAAGGTAAACGACACATGCAAACATCATAATTATGACACGGAAGTCATGTACCTCCACCTCGTAACGTTGTGCTGATTTAAAAATGACATATCAGCCTTTCTCATTCGTGCTTCACCTGTCATCGATTCCCACTGTACGTGGGATCTGCCAGTTTTTTCTAATTTACTTTGTGCCGTATGATTTGGGAGACACATCAGCCGTTTGGCAGGCAGCATTGCTTTAGTGGCACTCAATCGGATCGTGTGCGATCGGATTTGCCCTGAACACAGGCAGTACGGCGCAAGCATGGTACCCGGTGTTGTTCTGCAGCACTAGAGACGGCCGAGCGTTTCGAGTTTGTGTTAACTGAGGAACAGGAAACGAACCGCCACGTAGCTGAAAAAAGGGGTGGGAGTGTAAACGTTATTGTGACGGCCCTTAATTGCCCCACGGCACTGGCAGTCTGCGCGTCAATGCGCCTCCTGCGAGAGCCAGAGCAGCGCGGCGACTGCCACTTCGGTTCAGCTGAAGTCCAGCCGCATGCTGTGTACACACACGCCGTTTCGAGCCAGCGCACGTTGCGAAAACTCAGAGGTCACCGACCACGTTTTGTCCAAGTCTGATTAGCTCCGGTATAATAATAATAATAATAATAATTTTTATTTCCACCAGCGATGGAGGAGACTGCGGGTAAAAGTTGCTTGAAAGCACAAGGAACTTGACAAAGGCCCGCAGCCACCCCTACAGTGCAGGCAGCGATGGCAAACATTCACATAAAGAGAAAAAAAAATCACAAGAAACACATATTCGGAATACAGATATGTCTAAAAAAAACACATCAGTAAGGAAGAATGAAAAAAAGCAATATTTTACACTATTTACTATGTTAGCATGAATTGATGAAATGCTCGCGCAGTGTTCGTGCAGAAGTTATTTTCAATTCAATGTGTAATTTATGAAATGAATTTAAAAGGGTTGGCAGCGTGTATGATAGCTTCTGCATAGAATAGCTTGTCCGCGCAGTGACCACCTTCCACTGTTCTATGTAACGAGTGCCGTATGAATGGGTGTTTTTGGCAAGATGAGATAACTCGTGGAAAAACTTTAGGTTTTCTTTTATCTCTCGTTTGAACGCTATACTTAACTTGTAATTGTATAGGGTAAACACGCGGATGACATTTCCCTTCAAGAATAAATCTGAAGTATGGGAATGGTAGGGTACATTGAAAAGCGCCCGTAGAAATTTTTTCTGCAGTACATGAAGTCTTTCAAGATTTGTATATGTCGTCGTACCCCATACCAAAAAACAATAATACAAGGAAGGAAAAAAGAGCGCATTGTAAACAAGAAGCTTTATTTTAAAAGGTAATATCAATCTGTGACGCGCCATCATACCAACCACACGAGATAGCTTGCCTAAAACTGATTCGATGTGTAAATCCCAAAGCATATTTTGTGATAGGTAACTCCCAGTATTTTCACACTACTCACTATTTCTATTGCTTCATTTGTGTAAAGAAGGGTGATGTGATCGCAGGTTATCTGCTTAGATTTTGGTCTGAAAATCACGGCTTTTGTCTTTTTAGTATTAATTTGCAAAACGTTTGCTGCTGACCATTCTTGGAGCGCCCTTAGAGCAGTGTTGGTGTTATTCTGAAGGCTACCAAGTTCAGGTGACGAAAAAAATAGGCTAGCGTCGTCAGCGTACATAACGTATTTCGCATCACTGTAGATATTTACTAGGTCATTGATGTAAACTATAAAAAGAAATGGGCCGAGATTACTACCTTGAGGAACGCCTCTGCTGATGTGTTTTAAGTCTGAACGGTAATGCTCAATCTGGACGTA